TTTATATCCTTATTGTGTAAGCTTTTAACTACTTAGGAATTATTTTATTTATTTTTTTTACTTTTTAAACTTTTTCGTTAGAAACTAAGACACAAACACACATACCCTGACAAACATAGGGTCAGGATCATTGATATCGCTATCTTCTGCCTCCACACCTTGTCCTGTTAGAAGGTCTTTGGGGCAATAACATACATAGAGCTGTCATAATAATGCCTTCTAGAATACCTCCTGAAGAACCTGCTTGAAGCTGTTTTACTGTTCACTTTTTTAAAAAAATAAATAGAGGTGTACAATATAAAATAATGATAAAAAGTATAGTACAGTAAATATTAATACATCAGCCAATAATATAGTCATTTTATGATCATAAAGTGCTAGGTACTGTACATAATTGTATGTGCTATACTTTCATACTACTGAGAGCACATTAGATTTGTTTATACCAGCGTCACCAAAAACACCAGTAATACATTGCACTATGACTTTATGATGGCTACAGTGTCACTAGGCAATAGGAGTTTTTCAGCTCCATAGTAATCTTATGAAAACTATTTCATATACAGTTCATTTTTGACGAAAATGTTGCTGTATGATGTGTAACTGTATATTTTGAAATCATGGGTCATGTGGCACATGACTGTATATTATTTTCTTGATTTATTTTTTGGGTAGTTCATTGCTAGCGTATAGAAAGGCAACTGATTATTGTGTTACGATTTTGTATCCTGAAACTTTAAAAATTAATTTGTTCTAACATTTTTTTAATGGGGTCTCTAGCGTTTTCTACATATATGATCATGTCATCTGCAAAGAGACAATTTTACTTCTTCCTTTCCTATCTGAATACCTTTTATTTATTTTTCTTGCCTAATTGCTCTGGCCAGGACTTACAGTACTGTGTTGAATAGATGTTGTGAGAGTGGACATCCTTGTCTTGTTCCTGATCTCAGAGGAAAGGCATTCAGGTTTTCACCATTGGGTGCGAAGTTAGCTGTGAGTTTGTCATATATGACCTTTATTATATTAAAGTACATTCCTTCTATACATAATTTGTTGAGAGTTTTTAATAAAAAATGTCTTGTTAATAAATGTTCTTTCTCCTTTATATTTGTTAAAATTCACAGGGTCTAGTGACTCTTTTGGTGTTATTTGCAATATTTCAGTTCAGATAACATTTCAGGAAGATTAAATCAGTTATAAGCTCTCACAAATAATTTGTTTTTTGACATAGAAATGCTAAACTGGTACAAATGTGAACTTGCTCAAAGAGTGAGTATACTATATCACATTTTTTGGTCTCATATGTATTTATATTTACAGGTGTGTTAATCACAGGCAGCGGTCTCTAGCATTGGGAATACAGTTTATGTTGCTTCGATTATTGGGTATGCTATTTTTCTTAATTGTTGGTAACTGTTGGGCTACTTTGATTCATTAGTGTTATTGATTTATTCATTTATGGTTCGTACCAAGAAAATAATTAAAGTATAGTGGAAGACTACATAGTTGTTATTGAAGGAAGCTCTTTTCCAATATTTGAGATGTAGTATTATGTATATATCACATAAGAATGTAATGACTTTACTTTTCACCTGACTGATTGGTTACCTGTTGATTCCAGTTCTGTTGCAAAAATAGCCTTAAAAGGTATATCATATTTATTTGTAACATAAAATATGATCATTAACACATAATTCCTTTTCTCCTTACTTTTATCTCCATTTGAGATACATTGTGTTACATTAGCAATAAAAAATAATGAGTCACAATGTTTCAGTGGCATATATATTGTGTTAGTTAAGAACTGTTGGAAGTAAGAATTTATACCAGAGAATTTTATAAAGTTCCAGACATAGGAAGAATAAGAAAAAGGAGAGAAACATAATAAATATAATATTAAGATCATTTATTAAAACAAAAATGAAAAGTTGAAGTATTAGAGATCACTTAGTCCAACTTCCCCTTTTTTTTAGATAAGTAAATTAATGCCTTGAGAGGTGCAGAGTTTTGCCTATTGGTACATAATTAATGGTGGAAATGAGCCTAGGAAAATGATTCCTAACTCTCAGTCTGGTACTCTTTTGACTCTGTCATGTTACAGGTCCTGAAAAAATAGACTGGATGTAGCTGAAATCTTTGTCTAAAAAATGCCACCTCAAATAATGTATTTTATTTGTAACAATTGGAAGTTCCTTAACTATGTGAATGTTTAGTGCCTCGTGGGGATGAGAGTATGTGTGTAGAAGATAGTAATACTCTTAGGTATGTTAGTATGAAAAATTATATATTAAATATGTGTATGTATGTATATATACACATATATACTCTAATGCACACACACGAGTGTTAGTGTGTGTATATACACACATACACCTACATGCCCACGTTAGTTTATATGCACATGCACACATACATGCACATAACACATATACTGTAGTTTAGCAGACTTGTGTATTGAGAATAATTTATTTTGATTTTATAAAAGTATAGTAGCTAATTTCAAAGGGACATTCATTCATTGTATTAGATAAGCAATGAATTAAAATATTTGCTTAACTAAATGTTAAACCAATGTATGTTAGAGATTCTGTTAAAATACTT